AAGCCTCAGAGCCCCAGAAAGAGGCTGTCAGCCCCAGAAAGACGCTGGCGGGTGTTGCAGGACCAGGGAAGTAGTGGGAGGTGAGGGCGGGGCCAAGACCAGAAGCTGTGCTCCTGGTGCCCAAGAAAGGCACTGAGTTGGTCTGTGTGAGAAGGGTCAGGAAGCAGTATTGGTTCCCCAGGTGTCTGGAGCCCCAAGACTAGGAATGGCACAGGGCCCAAGCTTGTAGTAGAGAACAGCGGGGGAGATGGAAGGGTGGCGCGGAGGGCTGCACGGTAGACTTACCCCCAGAGAGGCCTGAGGGCGGGAGAGCGGGCCAGGAGCCCCCCTCTGATATTTTTGCAACTCCCTTTTTTCAGTGTTCCCTGAAACAATAGATGGTATGAATGTGTTTTCTAATTGCCTTGCCTAGAATCCCCTGTATGTTAGTTAACAGAAGTATCAGGAATGGATATATACCTGTTTCATTCTTGCCATTAGGGCAAATACTTTTAGTTTTTCACCATCAAGAATGATAACTGTGGAGCTGGAGAGATGGCTTAGCGGTTAGGAGCACTGGCTGCTCTTAGAGAGGACCCGGGTTTCATTCCCAGCACCCACATGACTTCTAACAGCCATCTGTAACTCCAGTTCCAGGGGACCGGACACCTTCTACTGACTTACATGGGCATTGCACAACACAGGTGCACTTACATGCAGGCAATACACAAATACATATTAAAAAAATAATAAATAAATATTTTTTTAAAAGAATGATAATTGCTGTGGGATACTTCCTCCCTCCCTGCCTACCTCCCTCTCCCTCCCTCTCTTCTTTTATCCCTCTCTCCTTCCCTCCCTCCTTCCTCCTTTTCCCTTCTCCTTCCCTCACACAGGGCCAGACTGCTCCTGTCCCTGTGTTCTTTCACTGTGCTTTGCTCTCACCCTGCTGTAGGATTTCCATAGATGGAAACTGAGGAAATTCTTTTTCTGCTCTACTGAAATGATTTCTATATTTTCATCCTGTATCGTTTTAACACAGTGTTTTGCATCTTTTGGTTGTTCTTTGGATGTTAAGTTAATCTTAAATTTCTGGGAAAAGTCATCCTTGGTTTTGACATATAATCTTTTCTATGTGTTGTTGGAGTGTGTTGGCCAGTATTTGGTTTGCTTCTGTGTTCTTGAGGTATACAAGTCTGTAGCTTTTCTTTTTTGTACTGGCTCTGTCTGATTTTGGTGTCAGAGTAATACACACTCATAGAATGAGTTGTAAAGTACTCTTTTTCTTTTTTGTAAGAGATTTTGGAGAATTAGTATTAATTTTTCTTTGAAAGTTTGGAAGAATTCACTAGTGAAGCTATCTTGACTTGGTCTTTTCTTTGTGTTGTTTTTATCATTAGTAATTGTTCTCTTGTTTTAGTTGTAATTGAGTTTTTCTTTTTCATATTGAGTCAACTTTAATACTTTGTATCTTTCTAGGAATTTTTTCATGTCATCAGCAAAATTCAATTGTTTTCTTCATATTAGCCTACAAATTGTTTCTTTCTTACATAGAAGTTACTTCTATCTGGAAGATCTAGTGATGTCACTTCGATTTCATGAATTTAGTACAGTAATTTTAGTCCTTTGTATTATTTTCTTCAGTTTAGGAAAACTATGTTGACTTTCTCTATTTTTCTAGTTTCTGTTTGACTTATTTCTGTTCTTCTGCTACCTTTTTGTATCTTTGTCCTTTCTTTGAGTTTCTCTTCTTTTGCTTGTGTTTTTGAGTAAAGTTCTCAAAATGTTCTCTGATTTTGGCCTGGAACTCTGCTATATTTCCCATACTGACCTTAAAGAAGTGCTAGTGATCCTTCTAATTCAGTCCCCTCATAGTTGGGATTATAGACATGTGTAACCGTGCATAACTGCCTTGAATATACAGTCCCTTGAAGTGTGAGATGAAATTACAGATTTAAGATCCCTCCCTCCCTCCCTCCCTCCCTCATTCCCTCTCTTTCAAGACAGTCTTACTATATAGCACAGGCTGGCATTGGATTTGCAATTCTCCTTTTTTAGCCTTCTAAGAGCTTGAATTACTGGCCTGTTTTAAAAATTATTTATTATTTTTATTTGTACAAGTATTTTGATTGCCAGTATGTTTACTGGATGTGTGTATTTCCTTAGAAGACCAGAAGAGGGTGACAGGACCACCATGCAGGGTCCTCTGGAAGAATAGCAAGTGTTCTTATCCTGCTGAGCTACCTCTTCAGACCCTGTTCTTAGTGAACATATTTTAATCTTTTTAGACTTACCATATTCTGTTTTATATTTTATATCTTAGTATATAGACTGTCTTTGAGAATGTCCTTAATTGCTTGAGAATAATATACATTGTGCTTTTGCTCTGTAGAACATGGATGGTATAAAGATCCATTAGGCCAAATTATTTGTGTATTTAAGTCTTATTTTTCCTTGTTGATCTTTAGTATCTTTTTTTTTAAAAGTTTTATCTTGTATGTGTGAGGGCCTGGTTTGAAAAAATAAATTTATCCTGTCAAGATTTTGAATACAATTTGTCTTTCAAATTTGTTTTAAATTCAAGTGCCAAGACTGAGATTCTACTATATAACTAAAATTTTCATCTAAATTAACTAAAATTTCATAGTAAATGCATAGCTTCTCTACAGCTGCTTTATGTAATATATCTTTGGTCATACATATCAATAATTATGTATTAGAGACTTTTTTTTTGGTCTTTTTGAGACAGGGTCTCCCTATAGCCCCAGCTGTCCTAGAACTCACTGTGTAGACCAGGTTGGCCTTGAACTCACAGAGATCCACCTGCCTCTGCTTCCCATGTGCTGGCATTAAAGGTGTGCACCACTGCGCCTGGCTAGAGACTTGTTTTTACACTGACAAAATTGTAGAAAAGCAACCAGAAGATTTAGGTGGAGTGCTTTTAATCTCCCCAGAAGTGAAATTCCTCTAGTGTAACAAATATGCTCAATAAAATGTAAGTTTCAGCATTAATGGATTCTTTCTTGTGAAAACTAAAGGAATTTTAAATTTTATGAAAATGATCTTTTTTCTCCCCCTCGGTAGAACGAAAAGGTTCTTGGTCAGAGAGGAGGAATTCCAGTATTGTTGGTAGACGGTCACTTGAAAGGACAACTAGTGGGGATGATGCTTGCAACTTGACCAGCTTTCGACCTGCTACTCTCACTGTGACAAATTTTTTTAAGCAGGTATTGTTCTGTCATGTAGGAATTCTAGGGAGATGTTTGTAACATGTTTCATATTCTTTCAGAATAGTAACTATACTGTGCATATGCATGAGCATAATTTCAAAACTGAAAAAATTTAAGAGTAAAAATGAATATTAGGAGTAGAAACTGTAAGAATATGAAATTTATATTGTACTTGTTTTATCATTAACTGTTTACCTTGACATTTTAAAATTTTGATTTTATGTGTATAAGTGCATAGTCTGCATGTGTCTAAGTGCATCATGTTGTGCAGTGTCCACAGAGGACAGAAGAGAGCATTAGATCCCCTGGAACTGGAGTTCCAGATGATTGTTAGCTGCCATATGGGTGCTGGGAATTGAACCTGGGTCTTCTGTAAGAACAGCCGGTGGTCTTAACCCCTGAGCCATCTCTCCATCCCCTTACCTTGACATTTTTAATGAATCAAAATTAGTCTCATGCATAATATTTTGTTAATTGTATAATGTACCTTTTCTTTTTTAGGTTTTAACTTTTATTATTTTAAAGTGTGTGTGTACATGTGTGTGTACATGTGCATGTGCGTATGCAGCTGAATGCAGATACCTGTGGAGGTCAGAGGGTATCAGATCTCCTAGAGCTAGAGTGGTTGTGAGCCCTCCAGTGTGGATGTTAGGAAACCAATTCTGGTCCTGTGAAGAAACAGCAGGCACTCTGAACTGTAAAGCATCTCTCCATTCCCCCATTGGCCATTTCTTTGTTGTGAAAAGTTTTTTGTTGTTGTTTTCTGGGTTTTTTTTTTTGGTCTTTTTGAAGCAGGGTTTCCCTGTAGCCCCAGCTGTCCTGGAACTTACTATGTAGACCAGACTGGCCTTGAACTCACAGAGATCTGCCTGCCTCTGCCTCCCAAGTGCTGGGACTACAGGAATGCACCACCAATATACTTTTTTGTTGTATTTTGAAATATTAAAGTTCATTATTATTTGTAAATCATTCTACTGGATAATAACTAGCAGTTACTGGTTTTTTGGTTTTTGTTTTTTTGGGTTGTTTTATTTGTTCTTGTTTTGTTTTTTTTTTTTGTTTTTTTTTTTTTTTTTTTTTTTTTGAGACAGGGTCTCCCTGTATCCCCCAGCTAGCTGGAACTCTCTAGACCAGGCTTACCTTGATCTCCCAGAGATCCACCTGCCTCTGCCTCCCAAGTACTGGGATTAAAGGCATGTACTTCCATGCCTAGCTTGGGTCACTGTTTTTAATGCTAGCAGTTAGTCACTAGCATAAAATGCTTATTAAAACTTAAAAATAAGTGACTCCTAGAAATATGTGGCAGTAAAAGTATTGCAGTTTCTGTTTTACAGTTTTCTGCTAATAATTGTTAGCTAGGGACTGGAGAGATGGCTCAGTGACTAAGAGCACATACTGTTCTTCCAGAGGACCCAAGCTGCTCCCAGCTCTTGTATTGGGCAACTCACACCACCTGTAATTCCAGCGCCAATGGAATCTAGCACCTCTGGCACCTCTGGGCTCCACACGCACCTGTACAGTCATGTACCCTCCCCATACATCCACTGTTAAAACTTTTTTAAAAAGAATGTTTAACCTTAACCATGAGCATGTGTTATTTTTTTACTTTCAAATAACTAGAAAATTATATATCACACAATTGCACCTTAGTGAAAAAACAGAGACTGTAGCTTTATTTAATAAAGTAGAATTCAAAGAACAAATACTTCTAAATGAGATAGAGCGTCCCCACCCCCAGGTCATGAGAATTTACTAGCCATAAAATCTCTGTTTGCATTATATTTGTTCAGTGATTTGAACAAGGCACATAGCCAAGCATATGGAAAGAAATTATGTCCCACCCAGTAAAAGGCATAGAAACAGATGATAATCATTACTAAAGAATGGAGGCTAGTAACGTAATTTAAGAAATTAAGTAAATAAGAATAGGTCTAGATAATTTGAATGTACTAGTAAATAAACACTGAAGATTTATATTCTGTTCTCAAAAGAAGAGAATATACTGTTTTAGCAACTGATAGGACATTTACAGTAATTATAAAAGGTCTCTGAAACTTTTTCAAAGTCACTTTCTCTAATTGTATCTCACTGAAAGCAAAAACTATTCCAGGGATACTACCCTAAATTAATAACCACTTAGAAATTAAAAATTGTTTCTCTAAATAATGGGTCAAAGGAAGGCCTGTCTACCATTTTGAATATAATAAGGAAATAGAACTAGGCTCAGTGTGTGCTCCTAGTAACAAAGTAGCCTTAAATATGTTAATTATCAAATAAGATAAAAAAGTAATATGGAAAATACTCAAACATAATAATAAAATGTCAGAAAGAAAAAAAAAACACATTATTTAGTTGTTTTTTCTTCTAGGTTCTTTATTCATCTTTGATTGTGGTCATTTTAGAGTTTTCTTTCTTGGTCTTAGTATTAGGATAGTTGTGCTTTTCCTTAACAGCATCGTGTTTATTTCTTTTTCTGAAAATTAGTCACTGGATAAGTTTGGGAATATGCAGTGAAAACGATATGTGATCCTAAATTGTAACCAATTTATAAATGTTATATATTATGTTAGTCTTGTTTTATTTCTGTTTTATGTCTGTATTCTTATTTTTACTTTTCCAGCTCTGTTTAAGTTGTTTTGGATTTCTGCATTTTATGGTGTTCTATAATACTTTATAGGCATAGGTAATAAACGATAACTCAATACATAAAAAGATTATTATCTTAAGTCTTAGTAAAGATTGAATACAAGAGACATACGTCAAGAAGTTATTTATCTTTATAAGTATATTAATTTTTCACTGACAGTTTTATAAGCAGAAGTCAGTGCTTGTTTGCAAGCCTTGTAAATTTATTTCCTATTTGCTATGTTTGTTTTATCAAATACTTTCTTCTTTATCATTGAAATCAGGAAGGAGACCGCTTAAGTGATGAAGATCTGTACAAGTTTCTTGCTGATATGAGAAGGCCGTCTTCTGTCTTGAGGCGGTTGAGACCTATTACAGGTATCTTGAAATTTTGAATGACATGATACTTATATATTTCCATTATTTATTCCTTTATTCCTATTTAGATGGCCTGTACATTTTTTTGTACTCAACACTTACCAGCCTCTAAAAAAAATATATTTTTATTTTATGTGTGTTTGCTTCATGTATGAAAGTGTACCATGTGTGCACAATGCCCATGAAGAACAGAAGAGGGCATTAGATCCCCTGCAACTGGAGTTAGGGATGACCTAAACCTGGTCTTCTGGAAGTGCAGCCAGTGCTCTTAACTGCTGAGCCATCCCTTCAGCTTCCCTATTAGTCTTTTTCATCTCACTATGTGATCTAAAAGTTTGGATTCAGGATTCAGCACCTTTGAGATTATAAGTTCTAAAATGAGAATGATGAATAACATTGTGTCTTAAAGTTACTTTCCAGAGGAAAAAAATGTGCATGGAATGGTAAATACTCAGAAATGGATTCATATCATGGTTGGAGCAAACCATTCAAAGTAAAACTGTTTTGGGATCTGCCAAACAGCTAAAATTAAATCACTAAATCCTGAAGTTTTGGCTTGTTACTATGTGTCCTAGTTTGTTTCTTCATTGCTATGACAAAATACTCTGACCAGTACCAACTTGGGAAGGAAAGGTTTATTTGACTTACATCTACTGGGTCACAGTGCATTAGGGAGCCCAAGGTAGGAACTCAGGGCAGGAACCTGGAGGCAGGAGTTGGAGCACAGGCCATGGAGGAATGCTGCTTACTGGCTTGCTCCCCTGGTCCACGCTCAACTTCTTTTCTTTTCTTTTCTTTTTTTTTTTAAATTTTATTTATTATTTTTATTTTATGTGTATGAGTGTATTGCCTGCATATATATGAGTTCACCCGTGTCATACAATGCTGTGGAGGTCAAAAGAGGGCTTTGGATTCCCCTGAACTAGAGTTAAGGACAGTTCGTAGCTGCCATGTGGATAGCAGGAATTGAACCCAGGTCCTCTGCAAGAGCAGTCAGTGTCCTTAACCACTGAGCCATCTCTCCAGCCCCCAGCCTGTCTTCTTACACAACATAGGCCCACCTGCCCAGGGGTAGCACCACCCACAATGGGCTGGGCCCTCCCACATCACTTGACAATTAAGAAAATTCCCCTACAGACATTGCCGCAGTTTGGTCCAATGGAGGCAATTCCCCAATTGAGGCTTCCTTAACTTAGGTGTGTCAAGTTGACATTAAAGCCATCTAGCACACTATGCTAGGTCCTTTCCTGCTGTCCTTTTCTTTCAGTTCTCTCCTCATTGTTCTGTACAAGTAATTTTTTTAAATGATTTTTAAATTTTATTTGTACAAGTGTTTTAATGACTGGTAGACTTATTGTTGTGTGTATAGTGCCCATGAAGGCCGAAAGAGGGCAACAGAGCCAGAGCCAACATGTGGGTGTTGGCAGTCAAACTCAGGTCCTCTGGAAGACCAGCAAGTACTTTTAATCCCTGAGCCATCTTTCTAGCCCCTGGTAGACAAGTAATGTTTTAAAGTTTGAATCTTGGTAAAATGAAATGATTTAGACATCTAAGTTATTTGGTTTCTATATTGTTTATCCCAGACTTCTTTTTTGTGTAATATTTTATTATTTTTATTTTATATGTATGAGTGCATTGCCTGCATGTCTTAAGGTGCACCTGTGTCATGCAGTGCCCCAGGAAATCAGAAGAGGTTGTTGAATCCCCTGGAACTGGAGTTGTGGACGATTGTTAGCCACCATGTGGGTGCTGGGAACTGAACCCCGGTCCTCTGCAAGAGCAGCCAGTGTTCCTAACTGCTGAGCCATCTCTCCAGCTCTAGCCCAGACTTCTTACAAAATAATATTTAAATATTTATAAGAATATTTTCATCTTTGTGCTAGTCAACATTCTATTACCATGACAGATTGCCTAAGCTGAGAAATATATTGGCTCATATTTCTGAGGTTTCAGCCCCTCAATGAGTGGCTTTTCTTTGGGGCCCATAGTGAGTCAGAACACTTTGGTAAAGAAGCACATGGTGAACAAAGCTGCTTACCTTATGGTGCCAGAAATCAAACAGAGCAAGGAAAAGTGGCCAGAGTACCCTCCTCAAGGGCGTACTTCCACTGATCTAACTTCTTCCCACTAGGCCTTACCTCCAAAAATTTCTGTCCCCCCTACTAGTGTCCTGTGCTGGTGGTAAAGCCTTTGGGAAGCACCTCAGATCCAAAATATGGTTCATCATAGAGTTTTTATTTATTATGTTCACATTGTTTTTATAATAATGTATTTTTATATGCAGCTCAGCTGAAGATAGACATTTCTCCTGCCCCTGAAAATCCTCATTATTGCCTAACCCCAGAGCTGCTTCAAGTGAAACTTTACCCTGACAGCAGAGTCAGACCTACCAGAGAAATTTTAGAGTTTCCTGCCAGGGATGTCTATGTTCCAAACACTACTTACAGGTAAGAGATAACACTTGTGGTGAGTTCTGAGATAAAGTACTGTTGAAGCAGAACTAGAATGGAACTCTTAAGTTTTTACGTATATTTATTACCTCTTCCACTTCTTACTACACAATTTTGTTAATTTATACCATGTGTAATATCAGTTATAGTGTTGATTACATTTATTATATATTAATTACATGTATTATCTTATTTAATCTTCATAGTTTTGGGGTAGAACTTACTTTCATTTTCTAGGCAGTTACACTGAAGGATAGAAGGATTAAAAATGTTGCTAAGCATCACATCTTAGTACGGTGGTGGCTAGCATTTGATTCCTAGTTTGTGGGGTTAAAATATGAAATGCTACTTAATGTGTTTCCTCAATTAGTAGAATTTTGGTTTACACATGAATCAAGTATATGTTGGATTATTAATTAGGATTATGACCTAATTTTTATTTGTTGAGTATACCTAGAGAATAGTAGACACAGTTATTAGGTACAACTTTTCAGGCTGAATAGTATGCAATTCCTAGCATATCATTTGCATGTCTCCGTTATGAATGATGCTTCTTTTTTAAAAATATTTTATTATTTTAATTTTATGTGTATGTGTGTATTGCCTGCATGTAGGTAAGTGCACCCGTGTCGTGCAGTGCCCACAGAGGTCAGAAGAGGCTGTCGGATTCCCTGGACCTGGAGTTATGTCATTAGCTGCCATGTGGGTGCTAGGATTTGAACCCGGGTCTTCTGCAAGAACAGTCAGCATTCTTAACCGATGAGCCATCTCTCCAACCCCAAATGATGCTTCTTTTATTTGTTCATTCTGAGGTCACCGCTTGGCATGTCTATTGGGAAATCTAGAGGGCAGCTACCTCAAAGATAACATTCTAGAGGAGGATTTTGAGTTTCATCCTCGACTTTCATCCTAATAGATTTTACTAACATTTTCTAAGTTGCTCAGAGCAGAATTTTTGGAATCAGAGTAGTTTCAGTACTTTTTGTACCCAGACTTCTTTTGGTCAACAAGTTATATAGACTATATTTTCAAAATGCGTCTCAAGTCCAGTACTTTCTACCACTCTACTTAAAAAAATTACTCACCATGTAACATAGTACTGTCTGATGGAAATATCAAAGAAGCCACAGTTGCTAATTTACAATTTTCTATTTCTACATAAAAATAATCAGGTGAAAGTAATAATTTTAATCACTTAATTTAGCATCGTATATATAAAATACCATGTAATATAGAAATTAATATTTTACTTCCCCCCCTTCTAGTTTCAACATCTTGTATATATTTTACACTTTAAGAGCATTTCACCTGGGCATGGTGGTGCACACCTTTAATCCCAGCATTCAGGAGGCAGAGGCAGGCAGATCTCTGGGAATTCAAGGCCAATCTGGTCTACATAGTGAGTTCCAGGCCACCTGGGGCTACAGGGAGACCCTGTCTAAAAAAGACGAAAAAAAAAAAGAAAAAAAAAGACATTTCAGTTCAGATGAGCCACATTTAAAATTCTTTAAAATTCTTACAAGCCACAGGGGTTAGAGGCTGCCATTTTGTACAGCTGCTGATCTCAAATTTTATTATACTGTAGTAGGTCATCTTGTTTCTATCCTTATCTCAGCCTGTTCTTGACATTGCTCTTAAACAGACTTCTAAACACCATAAATCAAACCACCTTTGAGTGAATCCTACCACAAGTGGAAAAAGCTTTTTTTAAAATAATAGTCTGTTGAGTCTCCATGCTCTGCTCTTGCCATTGTCTTGTGTTCTGGTGTCTCTGCTTGCCTCACTTCATTTAGCCTCAGTGACTTCAGTTGTTTGTCCTTGAAGGAAGTCAGTTCTGCCTAACAGTTTTCCATTCAACTTTTTCTGTGTCTTTCTTGTCTTTGTTCTTGTCTCCACTTCCTAGAGCTGCTCACCCTCCTCACTCCCAATTAGAAAGGTTGGCTTCTTCACTGTTCCAGCTCTCTGACTTTTGCATGTCATTATTTGGGACTATAATGTATAATTGTGATTGGTTTTGTTTTTCTCATTTGAATATAGTTATTGTAAAAGACAGGGACTCATATATTGACTCCTTTATTTCCAGCATCTCTGGTGTTCTAGAACATAGAAAGCTTATACTTAGTATTTACTCACTGAGTTAAGAAATACAAAACTGGAGCTGGAGAGATGGCTCAGCAGTTAAGAGCACTGGCTGCTTTTTCAGAGGACCTGTGTTCATTTCCCAGGACCATCATGGAACCTAATAACCACATGCAACTCCAGTTCCATGGGACTTGATACCCTCTTCTGACCTTTGTGGGCATTGTACTCATGGGTGTACTTCCATATATACAGGCAAAGCACTCGTATGTTTAAAATAAAAATAAATTTGTTATAAAAGAAAAAATAAGAAATACGAAACTATTGCAAGGTAGGAGAATAAGGTTTCGTGTCATGGTTGTAGCTATAATTTTTGGTCCCATTTTTACTATTCAGATGACTTAGGAAAGGATTGATATTGGCTGCTCAGTTTTATACTAATAAAATATGAGATAAAGGACTTGGTTTCTCCTGGGGCAGGGCAGAGCACAAAATATTCCATGTAATTAATTCTTTTTTTTTTTTTTTCCGGTCTTTTTGAGACAGGGTCTACTTGTAGCCCCAGCTGTCCTGGAACTACTATGTAGACCAGGCTGGCCTCAAACTCACAAAGATCCACCTGCCTCTGCCACCCAAGTGCTGGGATTAAAGGTGTGCACCACCACGCCTGGCCCATGCAATTAATTCTTACTGTAAATTCTTGGAGCATATAACCTAAGCAAGAAGATACAGTGCAGAAAAATACATACATACATACATATATATATATATATATATATATATATATAGCATTTTAAAGGCTACTTTTCAGTAAATAGCATGTGAGAACTAGTTTTAAAAAGAAGGTGGCCAAGTCACTCTTCTTAGGACAATCTGGCCTGC